CAGTATACATACAGTGATCATTAATTGCATTTTACCAGATATCATATTCATATCTATGGGTAGAAATTATTTGCATAACTATCAGGTTTCTACAAATTAACTTCTACATCTACAGAGTGTGAAACAGCCTAGTTAAGTGCAAAAAAGGAGATAAACCAATGGATCATCTAGCCAGGATATAATTTTTTCTGTATGTGTGTGTGTGTGTGTGTGTGTACACATGTGTATATATGTATATGACATATTTTTTTCTGAATCTTTGACAATAAGATAATAAGCATGCATCTCTAAAGAATAACATTATTCTACATAAGGACAATAGCATCACACCTAAGAAAATAAAAAATAATTCTATAATATCATCTAATATCCCATTTTAAATTTTTTGTTTTCCCCAATTGTCCCAAGAATCTTTCTATCTCTTTGTGTGTGTGTGTGTGTGTGTGTGTGTTTTGAACTAGTCAAAGTTACTTTTTTTTTCCAGGCTGTTTAAGAATTCTGAAGAGCTAATCCCTTGGGACTAAATCTTCTGGTGACTAATCCTGGTTGCCTTTCTTATAACATTTCATATAGCAGTGTTTCTGAAACAGATCAGATGCTTTAGGCTGTCATCTTCCTCCCAAAAGAGACATATCACTTTCGTTAACATGGTCATGAGCTGTGTGCCCTGTACCCAAGGGAAATGAACCTATGGACCCTTTGGTATTTATACAAAAGAAAATTATCTGTTGTTATGGGGCTGTTAATCAGCCTTTGTATTGTACCCGATTGATGACTGCCTTGCCTTGGGGTTCTCATGCTGAAAGGAGAGATTGACTAGAATATAATAGTCCGTTCCTTTGGGATGGAAAGGAAGCATGGAAATCCAAGATAAAATGAGAGCTCAGGGAAAGTGGGCATTGTTTAGCATCCCTATGCAGTATTGAAGCTGATTTTTTAAAAAAATTCTGATTTGAGAGCTATATAGTGTTCAGAGTTTTCCTGACTGAGGTAACTTTGTTTTTTAAATACTTAGTATCAGTTCTTATATTTAAAGTGAGGGTTTTGATAAATTTTTAAAAAGGAATTTAGCTATAGATCTTGCCTATAGATAGTAAGCAGTTGTTATGACTGTTTCTCTTAATTCTATCCCAAAGGTTAAATTTCTAAGTCTACTAATGTATTAGAGGTCCCCAAGACCACCTCTAGTTGATTCATTACAGGGATTCAGAGAACTCAGCTTGTAGTTGTACTCATGGTTATGATTTATTACAGCAAGAGGCTACAAAGCAAAATCAGAAAGTGAAAGGCTCATAGTGACTCTGGTGGAAACCAGACGTAAGCTTCCAAGAGTCCTCTCCCAGTGGAATCACATAGGACATATTTAATTTCTCAGACATCAAATTGTGATAACACATGCAAAGTGTTGTCTACCAGAGATGCTCCTTAGAGACTTGGTGCTTATGGTTTTTACTGGGGATGGTCACATATGCACCTTCTGCCTAGCATGTCTCAAAATTCCAGACTCCCAGAAAGAAAACTGTTCAGCATAAACAAGGTTCTTTATGCAGTTTCAGCACGGTGAGCCACGCATCAGTGCTTGGAATGGTGGGGACCCTCCCCAAATTCAGGTTTCTAGACACCAGCCAAGGGTCAACCATTCAAGCTGGCCTTTCTAAGGACAGCAGTCTCACACTTGGTATGGTGACTCCTTTGTATACAACTAGCTTTTTTCCTTTCCTTCTGCTATACAAATCGGAGCAAAGAATGCTTGTGTCTTCTCAGTAACAAATTTACTCAGATTTTATATAACATTTGGCAGGCCATATGGGGAGAAGGGAAGGCAAAAAAGGATGTTGCATGTTTTGGAGATGACTTGGATTTTCTCTTTGCCAGATGAGTTCTTTTTAATTTCTATATTAATCCATTACTATTTGTCAAAAAAATTGCAGGCTTATTGCTAAGTATTATTTTTAAAGTTGTACTCTAGAAACCATTCTCTAAGGTGATCTTTTTCTAAAATATACCAGTTCCTAAAGACAACACATAGAATGGGAGTAAAATTTTTTTTAAAGTTTCACGCATCCATTTTCAAAGAGAGAGTGAGAGTGGGGGAAGGGGCAGAGGTAAAGAATCTCAAGCAGATTCCCTGCTGAGTGGGGAGCCTGACTGTGGGCCTGATCCCATGACCCCGAGATCATGACCTGAGTCGAAACCAAGAGTCGGTAGCTCAACCAACTGAGCCACCCAGGTGCCCCATAGAATGGGAATAAATTTTTGTAAATCATGTATTAGATAAGGGACTTATATCTAGAATATATAAGAAGTTACTACAATTCAATAATAAAAAGACAACCCAGTTAAAAAGAAGTATCTGACTAGACATTTCTCTAAAGAAGATATACAAATGGCCAATAAGCCCATAGAAAGATGCTCAACATCATTAGCCATCAGGGAATTGCAGTGAAAACTACAATGAAATATTGCTTCACTCCCACTAGGATGGATGTAATCAAAACCACAGAGAGTAACATGTGTTGGTGAGGATGTGAAGAAGTTAGAATGCTCATACATTGCTGGTGAGAATGTAAAATGCTATGACTGCTTTGGAAAACAGTCTGATAGTACCTTAAAGAGTTAAACATAGAGTTACCATATGGTCCAGCAGTTCCTCTCCTAGGTATATACCTATACTTAAGTAGAAATGAAAACATATGTCCATCCAAAAACTTATACAAGAATGTTCATAGCGACTTTATTCATAATAGCCCCAAAATGGGGACAACCCAAATGCCCATCAACAGATGAAAAATAGATTAAAAAATGTGATATATCTATAAAATGGAATATTACTTGGCAATAAAAAATGAAATAATGGTTCATGCCACAACATGTATGAAGTTGAAAAGATTATGCTAAGTGAAAGAAGATAGTCACAAAGGACCGCATGTTGTGTGATTACATTTATATGAAATATCCAGAATAGGCAAATCTATGAAGATAGAAAGTTGATGAGTAGTTGACAGGGGCTGGGGAAGATGGAGGGTTGGGGGTGACTGCTAAGGGGTGCAGGATTTCTTTTGGGGGTAGTGAAAATGTTCTAAAATTGATTGTGGTAATGGATGCACAACTCTCTGAATGTACTAAAAGCCATTGAATCATAAACTTTAAAGGGATGAATTGATTAGTGTGTGAATGATATCTCAATGAATCTATTCGAAAAATATACCAGTTCTTAAGAGAAGATAAAGGGAATTGTTATTTGTCCATTTTTATGAATAACTGACCTATGACACTCAGGTATTTATTAGAATTCATAACTTAGATTTTCAGACATGAGTCCGTTACTAACTGCATTGGAATATCGCTTGTTCATTGTGTAGAAGAGTGATTAGGAAATCCAAAGAGAAATGACACAGTGTTGGGAATATTTTAAGCACTTTCTGCCTTCTGTCTGTCAGGTATCCTAGTTTAGCAGTAAAACTCCATTTTCCTCATCTAGTACTTGGCTGCTTATGTTGTCCGAGGGGGAGCTGAAGGTGGGTCTCCTCATGAAGGAGTTCTTGGCTGGACCCTTTTCTCTCTAGGGGTCTCAGTGTCAGAATGCTAAGGAGGTGATGGGCTCCTCCATCAGCCTTGGAATATTATTAAGTCATGTGGATTTGAATCAGCTTGTATTTGGGTAAAGGAAGTGAGTTTTCCTCCCACTTGATTTTGTTTCATTCAGAATTCATCAATTCACTTAGCTCTAACAGAATATTGTAGGCAAATCTTTATTGCATGATCTTACTGACGTATGTTTCTTGTATATTTTTCTGTCCCTTTCAGCTTACAGCTGAGGAAGGTGTAACTGAGAAATTCAATCTGTCTTCCATTTAGGTTGGTGCTTTATGTTAGTCTTGTATGAGAGTCTGGAAAGGAAAAGAATTGTGAAGAATCGGGACAACTTCGTTAATTCCTCCTGAGTCAGATTTTGACAGTGACTTCAGTCTGTTTTTTGAAGTATTATGAATTCTTAGCCAGATTATCCCTCAAACTCATGTTCAGAGGCAAATACCAGAGTATATCCTGAAACCAAGTATAAATGAATTTTAGATTGGCTGCCATTTTGGATGATTCACATCATTGCTCCCCTCATCATCACAAATAATTCTTGCACATACGTCAAGGGCCCTAGACGCTCTAACTCAGTGGGTGATTCAGAAATAAAGAATACATTTTGAAATTCCCAAAGAGGACATTATTATGTATCTTGAAATCTCAATGAGGACATACCTCACTACAAAACCGGGATGCCAGTGAAGGAGAAACCCTGTCTCCTGTTAACCAATCCACTTCTGCCTTGCTGTATCCTTTCCTTACAGAAGCTGAACTGTGTGACCACATTGTGGTAGGTCTTCAGAGGAGACAGGTGGTCTGGATGTTTTTGTGACCTGGCTTTCTGAGATCCTTTGTATTATGGGACTATGGAGTCCTATGTGTGACATAGGACCAATGACCAGATGTGCTATTTCATAGGTGTTTCAATGATTGATGTTCTTGTAAATCCCTTAGGGAATTTTAATACTGTTCAATCTGTATTTAAATGGTTCAGTCTGACAATAGGAAGTCTGACCCTTAGCAGGAATTAATTTTGTATTTGTGAATGGCCAGTTAAGTGAACACCTAAACAACTTCATAGAGCAAGCAAGAATAAATCTCTCAAGCAAAATGCCTTGTCTGCCCCCTAAGTAACTGGTTTCAGTGAGCCAAACTCCAGGACTGCCATTAGTTTGGATACATGGATAGTTTACTGGAGGAGTAGATTATAATGCCAGCATGGTACAGGACCTTCTCTCTTTTTCGTCTGTCCTGAGCCTGCCATCCTGCAGAGCCCCTGGATTGAGTCTTACAGTCCCATGAAGTACAAAACCACACCAAGCAACTGTAGCCAGTGGGCATTTGTGACAACAGAAAGAAAAAGTTGACGGAAGACTCATCTGTATTTGTTTTCTCTCTCCCATCTCCTGCATTCTTACCAGGCAAAAGTAGAAGAAAAGATCCAAGACGTCTTCAGTTCTTACAAGTTCAACCACCTTGTACCAAGGTAAGCTGTGGTTAGGAGTTTGGGGGGATCTGGGAGACACCAAATCCTGTGCGAGCCTTTCTTCTTTCCTCCTTGAACCTATTCACCTCAAGGGATAAAGTCTGTTGGGAGAAGGGTTTCTTGACCTTGTGGCCACCTAGTAAGCTTATGACCCCAACTCCTTCCTCTATTAGAAAGATGTTTAGAGGAGATGCTCTCCTCAAACTGAACCATCACGTGGTACATGGGGAGACCCCTCAAGGCCTGAACTCTGAGGTCTGAAGATGGGGAGAGGAAGTTCATGTTTCTGTTGCTTAGTTGTGACCTGCTGCTCTGGTGTTCAGATCAGAACTCTCAAGGTTTTCTTTGTCGTATGACACTTTGAAACAGATGTAGCATCTGGGGGTGGCAAAGGATGGATTCTTTTGGTGTATATTGTAATTTGACTGGGAAGAGGTGATGAGTTTGAGCTTCTCCCAGCCTGGCCCTCCCTTGTTGGTAACTGTGGAGCCACTCCCAAGGATGAAGTCTCCAGGGAGAAAATACAGTGCCTTTTATTTTCCCTGGCACTTAGCAAGTTGAAGTTTCTAAGCGATTTGATGTCAGAAATTCCATAAAGGGGACTATAAGCAGAAACTTATTATTTAAGTTGAACCTTTATTTTCTCTTTATTTTGTAGTTTATAATGTATCACACTAGGATTTCAAGAGGATATTTCATCCCTCTATTAGCATGTTTCTCCCAGTCCCAAGTTGTTTCTCCAGAACCATCCTGTGTCATATTTCCAGCCATCAGAATGGATTAGGAGTCCGAAACTGTGTGTGGTCATGGTTTTATCTTAGTGATACAGCACTCTGCCTTGACCCCCTCTGGACAAAGGGCCGTTGGGCTGCTGGCTGATTTGCTCTGGCTGGGAAGCGGGGGGCCTGAGGTCCTGCCTGAGCCCTGAGCCCCGTGCTTCAGAGACTGAACAGAATAACCCCAGGCCAGTCAGGCTCTGGGTGCTCTGATTTACTGAAACATCACACATGGTTCTAGCCTGAATTCACTTTGTGTCTTTTTTACCACCATTATATTTTGCCACTATTTCCTTGAAAAAGAAATTTTCTTCTGAAAATTCTGACTAGCCAAGGCAGAAAACAATTGGAAAAAGGAAAAGGCGGGTGGGAAGGTCATCTTCATGTTTCTTCCCTGGGAAAGGAAAGAGGGAAAATATGAACTAACTAGAGGAGTCTTTCCCCAAACTGCTGAACTAAATGTCTGTATTAACCTAAAGCTCAGTCTTCAATAAATGAATTATTGCTTGTCAGGAACCACAGCTGGAGATTAGGAACTGAAGCCATTTGTTTCAACAGCTCGGGGGCTGAAACTAATATAATAGTGTATGTCAACTCTACTTAAATAACATTTCTACAAAATAGGTTTTTAAAAATATTTATTTTCTTCCAAGTTTTTATTTAAACATGGTTTATATCTTAGAATAATCCCCAAGATATATTAAATGGAAAAATAAAAATACGGAAAAATATGTCATACTCTGCCAATTGTGCTAAAGATAAAGCAGAATGTTTTTACAAATCAGTCAACAAACAGCTGAGGGGGCCGGGTGGGCACCACCTCTGCCCAGTACAGGCGAGGCTTCTCCAGACGTGGCGGGACCTGGTGGTAGTGAGGGGTATGATTGCTTTAGGAGGGCCTTTGTGCCTAGCAGTTGCATCTCCGGTGACTCACCTGACTGGGCTCTGAGTCACTGTCTGCTGTCTGGGGCTCTGTGGACACATGTTCCCTGTGTTTCCAAAGGGACCTTCGGTCATTTGACATTCCTTTTCCCCCACCATCAGAATAGACCCTTGGACCTTTCTTTTATTCTTACTGAGATGTGAGGGAGAGTGGGAGTTTACATAGTCTGGGAGGAAGAAGTGGTGTTTTGGGAGTGGTGGTAGAGGACAATAAAAAAATTAAATCCCTTGAATTCGTAGGTCTTAGGTCAGGTGTATGTGGGAGACAAAAATGCTCCTCTTGGGTTTGGATCCTTCTGGAAGTAGAATATATCAGGGCTCTGGGTTTATTTCAGGAATCTGACATTTCCCATTTTATCATTGTTGCCTATTGAAAGTGAGTGTTTTAAAGGATGCTAATAAGCATCTCATTATGTCACAGCATGCTAATTAATATCAGAGATATTACACATTTTGGCAGAAAGGCTGAGTGAGTGGCTGATATAAATCGACATATCAATGTAAGGCTGAAGCCAAACATCACCATCCTAGAACTAACTTCTAGGATAGAAGAATAAACCTGAAAATTTGTCAAAATTTTAAATTATTATCACAATTTCAATATTTAACATTTTAAAAGTCAAATTTTAAAAGTCTGACGTAATGGAGGAACAAACCTTCATTTTTAGCTAAAGTGAATATTCAGATACTAGCAATAAATCTAAATAACATGGCATGTTTGTTTTTGAGGTTATGATGCTGATCAGTGTGATAGTATCACACACACGCCCAGGACCAGTGACCGCGCATAGGTCCAGGGATGCCAGGAATGATGCTGAGGGAGGCATTTGCCTCTTGAACCTTCCAGTGCCACAGCCAAATACCAGATTTAGCTGAAACTCACGGCTGAAGCTGAATGTCAGTACCTTCTACAATTATTCCCCATTCCAGAAATGATTTCCTCTCTCTCTAAGACCGTGAAACCTGCATCCTTTCCTGGAGTAAAGTAGTCCCTCCCAAAGGACCTGTTTGACCGTGATTTTAACAGTTTTGTCAGTAGCCTGCTTTCCCGTGAAAGCTAATTTTCCCTTCCCTGTGGTTATTCCACATACTTAGGAATTTACCCCTTTCCATTTATTACATTAGCTTTAGTAAGAAATCTGAGATGCATAAACTAAACTCACTCTCTCTCTCTCTCTCACTCTCACATACTCCCATGTCATTTTCCTCTTGGGAAGCAGAGTGATGGAGGCTAACCCAGGTCCTGCCCCTACTTGACTCTTAGACTCATGGGGAAGGTAGCCGTTAAACAAACAAATGCAAATACATAGTTACCAATGGGATGGGTGTCAAGGAAGGGAATGGGATGCTCTGAGAGAATAATAGGGAGGATGTAATTTAGGTTGGGAAGTTAGGGAATATGTCTTAGTCTGTTCTGGCTGCTACAACAAATTACCATCGACTGGGTGGTTTAAATAAGAAACGTTTATTTCTCACAGCTTTGGAGGCTGGGAAGTCCAAGATCAAGGCACCAGCAGATACGGTGTTTGATGAGGGCCCACTCCCTGGTTCCTAAATGGCCATCTTCCCACTGTGTCTTCACATGGTAGAAGCATTGAGGGAGTTCTCTGGAGCCTCTTTTATAAGGTCACTAGTCCCTTCATGACCTAATCACCTCCCAAAGTCTCCACTTCCTAATACCATCACACTGGGGATTAGGATCTCAACATGAATTTTGAAGGGACATGAGCATTCAGTCTCTAGCAGAAGGCCTCTCGGAGAAAGTGGCTCTCAGGCTGAAACCAAGGGGGTGAGTAGGAGTTGGTCACAGTGTTCCAGACAGAGGGAACAGCATGAGCTAAAGTCCTGAGACTGAAAAGAACAGACCACAAAGAAGGCAGTGTGACTGGAGTTTAGGGAGGGCATGAGATGAGGTTGGAGAGAAGTAGGTAGAGGCACATCACAAAGGGTCTTGAAACCCAAAGGGATTCAAGTCATAGTAAGAAATTACATTGTATTTATAATTTACATTGCTGCCTAGTACATATATATATATTTTTAAGATTTTATTTACTTATTTGACAGAGAGAGACACAGCGAGAGAGGGAACACAAGCAGGGGAAGTGGGAGAGGGAGAAGCAGGCTTCCCGCCGAGCAGGGAGCCCGATGTGGGGCTCGATCCCAGGACCCTGGGATCATGACCTGAGCCGAAGGCAGACGCTTAACGACTGAGCCACCCAGGCGCCCCTAGTACACATATATTTCGAAGTTCCTTTTCAGATAGTGGAGGTGGACTCCCAGTATCCGTAACATATTTACTTACTTGATCCTTTCTCTTATGTCTCCTCGTCTTCCACCCCCTCTGCACAGCCACATAGATGTCCTCTCATCCACTCGCACACTGATACCCTGCCCTCCCCGCCCCACCGCCCCACCCCTGCACAGAGCCTGTGTTGTTCTGCTTCACCTAATGGCATGGCTGTAGGGCTGAATTGTTCAGCAAAGAAAGGGAAAGAGCTCTAGCTTTTCTATTTTAACTCCTTACACAGAAAAGATTTTTGGACAGAGGTGAATTGAGACTAAAGGAATAGTAAGGGTATTAGTTTGTTAGGCCTGCTGTAATGAAATACCACAGATTAGGTGGCTGAAACCACAGAAATTTATTTTCTCCCAATCTTGGAGGCTGGAAGTCCAAGATCAAGGTGCTTGCAGGGTTGGTTTCTCCTGCGGTCTCTCTCCTAGGCTTGTAGATGGCGTCCTCCTCATTGGGTCCTCACATGGCCTTTCCTGTGTATGCTCCTCCCTGGTGTCTCTTCCTCTTCTTATAAGGTCACCAGACCTTGTTTAACCTTAAATAACTCTTTAAAGACTCTGTCTCCAAATACAGTCACACTGGGGGATTAGAGATTGAACGTATGAATTTGGGGGGACACGGTTCAGTCCATATCAATAAGGCTCTTAGTACAGTTTCTGCTGACCAAAAGAAACTGGATATTTGTCCCTTCAATTTAAAAGAATCATAAGTCTCAGAGGAGAAGTTAAAATTCAGTCAGCATTGTGGTCCTTGAAGCTCTGCATAAACAAAGAGACCTTTTGCAAGATTTTAGAATAACCTAATGCTAATATGCATATATATATATAGAGAGAGAGAGAGAGAGAGTGTGTGTGTGTTTGATTAAGTGGGCAAAAATGAAAGCGAATAGTTTGCCTTGTGGAAATGCTGTCTGTGTAGAATTTCTGTTTTCTTGCCTATGGCTGGTCTTCAGATGAAACTAGCTAGAGGAACTTATTAGTTCCCTCCCG